CTTCGAGTTGGAGCTGCTGGGCTGATTGGCGATATATGTCAGAATAACCTTGTGTGCCAAGAAAGTATGCTTTCTTTAAAGGCAATCCCTCCTCTTCTTGAGATGATGGACACAGACACAGACAAGCAAGCAAGGATAAAATCCCTATATGCTATTTCATGTAAGTAATGGTTTAGATTTACATAAGTATGAAAGAGAAAGATCTTTATTTAGATGGATTTTACATAATAAATGTAATCTTCAATTATTGAAGAATTTAAGACAGGATAAAACTGGAATATATTAAAGGAATAAATTATATAGTGTTTAAGGAATAGAGAACTGTATGATTTTTGATAAAGAATCTTTTGTTCTTTTGAACTTGTGATGAAATAAGTTGCATATTCATTTATTTTCAAATGATTCTATTGATTACATAAATTACAGGTTTGATCAGAGATTTCCCAAAAGGTGAAGAAAGTTTCTTGAAAGCAGATGGTCTCTCCTATTTAATGCGTTCAATGCAATCGGGCATAGAGAAGTTAATTGTGAAGTCAACATTTCTGTTGAATAACCTGGTCAGAAACAATGAGTCGTATATTGGTAAGTTGTCTTGTCGTTCCCTGGAAATAAATATTGGTTTTCATAGTTTATTTAATTATTATTAGAGAAAAAATAGACATATAAATTGTTGCCTAGTATATATTTTCATTAAAGCATGATTTGTTTGATTGTTTTTTTTTTATTGCATCTTAAAAGGAACTTTTGACTAGGTTGAACACTGGTGATTGTTTCTTTTTTCTGTATATTCTTGTCAAATACTATGTACATTCATTCCCATTTTTTACTGTATCTGATGAGGAACTCTTTGACAAGTTTAAAAGGTCACAATTCTATCATGTCTCTTGTAGCAAAATTTCATTTTATCTGTGTGTAAACAATATCATACAGACTTGTGTTTATGGTTTTATATATAGGTATAGATATTCATATATTTTTTCTAAATATTTTTTTTAGGTTAAATTGGAGATATTAATATTAAAAGATTTTTGAATATGAGGAAATTATGTGATGTTTGTGCCTTTGGTGTGTATACATATAGAGTACAAAATTACATATAAATTGCAAGTAGATTAGTCACAAAACTAATCTCTTCTATTAGTATGATAGAAGTTGAGATGAAAAACAAGAGAAATATGGACATTCATGTATCTAAAACCATGTCATTTTTTACATTTCAGACACTGTACTCTCTATGGGATATATTGAACAGTTAGCAATAATTCTTGGTAATGAAGACACAGACAACATTTCCCGAGAGCATTGTACTGCTGCAGTCTATGGCTTAGCATCGTCTTATCCACAAGCACTTCAGGAAGCTCTGAGACCAGAATTGGGTCTACCACAGCTTTTACGATCAAGATTAAGTACAATTAGTGGCAAAGAGGAATTTCAGGTAAGTTCTGTTGTAAAATTGTATGAAATTATTGACTTTCACCTGACAGCATGAATAAGGAAGTTGACATTACTTTGTAAGTTACAGGTGTGTTTCTCTCGAGTATGATTCCTAAGAATACTCAGTTCTTTCTTTTTGGAAGCAAAGATGTATTTGATAAGTGATAATTAATGACTGTTTGCCAGGTTAAAGTTGGTAATCATTTGGTTATTTTTTGGTTGATGATGATAGATATTTTCAACAAGTATTTTATTTAATTTGGCAATTGTTACCAATCTCACAGTTGCACTTATATCTTAAAAAGTTCACTGAATATTATTAAATTTTGTCTTTCTTTTTTTTCAGGAAGAGGAAAATCATATTCAGGATTTGTTAAATCTCTTTCAACAAGGGGATGATGATGATGAACACAGATAGTTGTTATATTTGTAAGGTTTACTAGAAATAAAAATTCAATTTTATGAACTTTTTATTAAAACAATTGCCATGTGAAAGGAGACTTTTTAGGGCACTAGCATCTGTCACATTAGCATCTGTCACATCTTCTGTACTAATCGGAAATCTTTTCTAAAATGTTTGTTTCATTTTATCAGTATATTTGTAGATGGTATTTGCAGTAAAGTGCAGACTTTTCTATATATTACAGTAGCAACATAAAACACACCATTGATTAATTAGACACTGTATTTGTAATACCTGTATGTCATTTTAACTTGTAATATAAGAGAAATTTCAAAACATCTTAATTATATAATGTATTTATTGTGTTATTATGTTGATTTAAAAGGCATTCATTTAAAAATTTTAGGTAAATGGATTAGGAACCTTTCATGAACTGTATTCATGTTGACAAATTAAAAGGTATGAATTCATTCTACCTTTTCTACAAAAGGAATTATTCAGTGACTGGATCAGACTTTGCCATTTTATGGGACAGTGTTTATAAATGTACAAAATATGTTTTTTTCATACGATCTTTCAATTTTATATATGAATTAAATTATGGATACTAGACCTGTACAAACTATAAAAAGAAAGGATGAAAAGATGAACATCTGGATTATTGGTAGTAGTTCCAGGTCTAGATAATTTGTAATTTTTGAAATGAATCTCTGTGAAAATAGAGTAGGTGATCATACTTAAGGAATTTATCTTGAACAGCAGCGTTTACAGAAAATAGATTTTTTACTGTTTAGGAAGATGATTATAAATTAAAACTCAATTACAGGCTTTTCTTAACCTAGAACAAAAAGGGGAAATAGACAAGGAAGTATATATATTGCAACGACAGAGACCTTGGACATATTCTAACATTAAACATGTATGCAAACAAACCAAGAAAAGAACTAATTTTTAATCTAAAAGTAAGATATACAGGCATAAGAAGATTATATAGGGAATTAATTGTTGGTCAGATCAGTGTTGGAAAGGAGAAGCAAGTACCTGTTAGTTTTACAAAGTAAAATAGTCATATAGAGAAAACCATTGTGGTAAGTGAGTCTATTGACAAAAAAAGTACAACACTAGGTCAGCTATTAGCATAAAGTATTATTTCTCATATAATGTATATATTGTCCAATATATAAGAGATTATAAAAAAAAAAAAAAAAAAAAAAAAAAAATCATGACCAACAACTCATAGTACTGTCCTTTGGTGTCAATTTTATAGGGCAAGGAATGAGCTTGCTTCTGTTCAAAAAGCCCCAATCATTTCCATCAATGCTTTTATGGGAATACAACCATTCTCATCTAATATTTGTTAACACTAAGTAAATGCAAGTTCGATTGATACTGGCAAGGTGAATGAAATACTATCGTAATTCAAGGAATATGGTTAAAGACATTAAGATTTGCCAAGGAGAATATAAGTGTAAAGTAGAATGGATCGATAGTTAGACAGAACTTTTTTGTTAATATCTTGTTCCAAAATTGTAACATATCCACAGAAAATTATCTGAACAAAGAGGTGAATAAATACAATCAGAATGTTAACTATCATATCAAAATTTGTTTTACTTAATTTTGGTTACATTTAACTTTACTATGGGTAGCCTTATAAAATTTATGATTACATCAATAATGGAAATGAAATATATTGTGATGATTATCATCACTGTTATCAGTATTATTGTTATTACTATTACTAAATAGTGATATAAGTATCACTTATCACATTCATATGTTCTGTCTTTTCCTCCTCTTTCACTTCCTTTACTGATTCCTGTAACTCACTCTCTCGTAAAGTCAAAGCACTTGACCAACCCCCTTGTCTATAAGATTCAAGATTGGTTGTTCTACCTGTTTAGCATCACAAATCTGTCATGTTTTGCTGGGTGCCCAGACATGTCAGAATCTCTGATAATGAACAGGCAGTCACTCAAGCATGCTCCACCATTATGTCCACACCACACCAATGCTGTTTCCCACGTATTCCAACCACTGCTCATTATCCCCACTTTAAGACCTTCCTTTATGCCCAATGTCAATCTTTCTGGTCAAGTCTTCTCACCAATATATTACATACTGTAAAACTATCAATCTCCTCCTGTCAGCTCTATTTCATCAGAACAAGCGCTGGGAGATGGCACTTGCCCGCTTGCATGTTGGCCACACCTGCCTTACACACTAGTATCTCATTTCACGGTCTGATTTGCCCCTATGTTCCCAATGTAATGTTCCCCTTTCAGTTCTACACATTCCATTGTTCTGTCCACACTATACTGCAGCCTATACCTCTGCTTCCCTTAATGTATCCTCTCTTCACCGACCTCCAAACCTCTTAGACATTCTTATGGAATCCCAAGCTCTCTGCTTTGACTTGTTGTACTTCCTCAGACATTCATATCCTTCACTTTATCTAATCCCTACATGCTTATTCATACCTTAACCCATTCACTCATCTTCTCCATCTTTGCCTATCTTTATCCCTTTAAATACTATCCTACTGCTGAACGATTGTTGAAATATAGCTCCAAATCATTACCTCACCCTCACTCTCTAACCTCTCCGATATTATGCCTCCCTTTTGATGTCTTGGAGATTTATTTTGCTTTTTAACCATTATGCATTCTTCTTGTTATCAAAAGCAGTAATAATAGTAGTAATGATGATAATGTAATATTGATGATAACATCTACTATGATAATGATCATGATCATCATACTAATAGTAGAAAATAATAACAATAGTGTCTCTTATTGCTATGTACGCTCCTACTGCTGTTTGCAATTTCTTTGAAATGTTCTACGTCAAAGTAATATCTGTGACAGACAAAGGCCCCTGGCAAGACATTCACATTGTACTGGGTGATTCAATGTGGTATCCAGCTGTGATTGAGCTGGCTATGGGATGTCTGTTGGTCCCCATGGCTCAGGAGTTGATCTCTGTACCAAGAACAGCCTCCTTCTCAGAGACTACTTGGTAGAGTAATACGGGTACTTTGGCCAACATCCTTGTTATCGCTCGCTGGAGGGTCCTCCAGAACTGTAGGGTTTATTGCAATGTTGAGTTCTATGGTTTTGACCATACTGTTCTATGGTTCTATGGTCCACTTACCTCTCCAGGGACCACTCTAGATTGGGGAGGAAGAGTGTGGACGGGTGTTTGCCGCAGCAGTCTATGATAGGTTCACAGTGCTAGAAAACCTGATGGACCCTGTCGCTGTGGGACCCCTTTAAGTGTGAAACACTTAAAGGGGTCCCACTCAGTGAATGCCTGAAAGACAAGGCAGAATTTCATCTCGCAGGAGACACTGGAGGCCATAAGTGTGTGTCTGAATAGCAATCATGATGTGTGTCTTTCTTTAGCGCGCAGAGCTCTGACACTGCTTAGAAGGGATAAGGAACAGTTCATCAGAAATTCTTCTGAGTCGGTAGAAGGTTATTTCCTAGTAAGTGACCTTCGTCCTGAAAACAACTCCAAGCCCTCCGCAGATGACTGCAGTCCGCTCAGTGGATGATTGGATCATCTCTGATCATGTTGGAGTTCGTGAAAGTTGTACTGAGTATTCTGAGCATCCGCTCAGTGGGTGATTGGATGATCTGTGATCATGGGATTCGTGAATGTTGGACTGAATATTCTGAGCAACTGTTTCAGGTAGATCCTGCAGCAGTTAGAATATACGCTTGTGGAGTCCCTGTGCCAGACTCGCCTATTAGTGAGAATCCTCCTATCCTGACTTGGGTTAGGGAGGTGATCCCCAAGCTGAAGAGTGGGAAGGCGGCAGGCATATGCGGCATTGTAATGACCAGGAAAACTTAAAAACTGCGTCGAACTTGACACATACTATTTAGTGAGACGTGCCCACGGAGCGGGCCGAGCTGTAAGCACTCTCCGAAGGCACGGCGGGTCTGGGATTAATATTCCTAATATTACTTTATACGCACAATGGGGTTTCACAATCTTTAACCGTAAAACTAACACTCCCCATGTGGAAAATGAAAAGGATCCTGGGCACAACTTGCTAAAGCAATAATATGCAAATAAAAGAAAAGTAAACTAACACACAAAACTAATAGTTAATATGGTAGCTTGGACAAATACATAAAAGACAAAAGTATAACATGTCTTGCGTATAATACTGGTGTACACATTACTTATCAGCCTCGAATCCTCCGTTCGCCACCGTGCAACAAACGATAAATCACAGAAAAAGAAATGCATTCCACTACAGCCTCTCTATATATACCTGCAACAAGGGCTACTCAAGGCATGCAGTTTCCCGTAAGGATCTCTAGCTTACTGCTTGAATACCCTTGCTCAGGTAAATTAACCCGTGGATTGGGAGAGAGAGAACATGTAGCCTGGGCCGTGCGAGCGTGACTCTATGTTTTATCTCCCACACCTTCGCCAATGCTTTGGAGGCGGAAACAAGCAGTTAAGTGCTTTGTAGCACTGGAGGCTTTTGAATATTGAATAAAACAAAATGTTTGTATGGATTGAGGACTGCAGTAAAAACATAGGTGCAAACAAAACAAAGTGTATATTTTTATATTATTGTGAAAATAGATAATTCCTTCGTTGCATTGTCCACGGAGGTAGTCCACGGTGGTTCCCCATGGTGGTGGTCCCTGGTGGTCATGGGCAGAAGTTCCAGGCGTCCAGCCCTGCCACAAATAGCTTGGGACCCCCTTGATGACAGCTCGTTTTCTTTTGGTTTCACTACAGTATTCCTGCCGAACTGCTAAAGGCCGGGGTGAACCTATGGCATAGGGCTTGTATACTGTCCTAGCTGCCATCTGGCAGTCCGGTTCCATTCCCTCGGACCTGTTGAGGGGCATGGTCATTTCTCTCTGGAATGGGAAGGGAGATCATTGGAACTGTAGCAACAACTATGGCATCACGCTGCGCAGTATACCAGGTAAGGTTTCGCTCTCATTTTTCTGAAATGGATCCATGACCACCTACTGAGGCACCAAAGACCGGAGCAATCAGGAGCCAATCCTGGCAAATCTACAATATCCTAGCGCTTCAGGTCATTGTGGAACGCCGTCGTGAGTTCGGTCGTGGGCTACTTGCAGCTTACATCGATCTCAAGAAGGCGTTGAACGCGGTGCATCGCGAATCGCTATGGGAGATCCTGAGATTTAGGGAATTCCGTCACGGATTATTAGATTAATAGCAAGCCTATATACTTGCAAGGAAAGTTCTGTAAAGTGTGGTGGGGGCCTGTCGAGCTTCTTCCCTGTTAAAGTAGGAGTAAGTCAAGGCTGTTTCCTTGCACCAAAACTTTTGAACACTTACATGGACTGGATAATGAACAGAGCTACAAGCTAAAGTCATTGTGGAGCAACACTCGGCAATATTAAGGTCAAGGACCTTTACTCTGCCGACGATGTTGCTATATAATCTGAGCAATGAGGCTTGGGCTTAGGGGTCTCCTGGACGAAGGCCACGATCCAGGATTTTGGGGGCTTGCTACGGGAGCCTGTTCAGTCGATTTATGCTTGCGGCTAGAATGTTGAAGTCACAGAGAGCTTTACATATCTTGGTAGTGTAGTTCATGTTTCTGGGCTGTCAGACCAGGATGTCAGTGGACGGATTGGTCTGGCAGCAAAAGCCATGAACTCATTCAACAAGAGGATTTGGAGGTGCCGGTACCTATGCAGAAAGACTAAGTTACGTGCCTTCAAGACCTTGATACTGCCAGTTTTGCTTTATGGAAGCAGATGGATGCTATCTACCACGTGTCCGACCGACGGTTACACCGAGACACTGGCATAGGAACTATTACTTGCATAATCATTGATCGCCAAATCAGGCAATACGGGCACCTAATAAGGTGCCGTCACACTAGCACATTTTCCGTCAATTATTTTTTTTTACAATTTTCTGAAATTTTGTCCATTTTTGAGCGAATTGTCGATTCTCCAATCAGACGATAATAATCGTTTCCGTTTGAAAACCTTTCCGTCAACTTTTTCAGCCAAGCTATATTCGAGAATGTTTGTGTTTATGTTAAATAAAATTGTCAATAAGTTAACGGAAAAAGTGCTAGTGTGCCACGACCTGTTTCCCAAGGGATGACCCTGCCCATCAGGTTGTCTCTTCACGTGACAATCCTGCGTGGAGGAGGCCCGTGGGGCGACCTAGGAAATCGTGGCTTGGACAGCTCGATCAGACCTGCTGTGAGGAGCTAGAGATGGGCCGAGGGCTTGTCAGGAGGCTCGCTATAAGGAACCCCCGTGGTTGGAAACAAAGATTAGATGCAGCTATGCACCCCGTCAGCGCCAATCCCATTGATTGATTGACTGATTACAGTGATAATAATAGCAATGATGATAATGTAACAACGGCGATAATATCTACAATGATAATGATCATGAGTTATAGTAAAATATAATAATGATAGTGTTAACGAGAATAATACCAATTATTATAGAAAAAGTAGATGATAATCGTGATAACATTGATAATGTAATAAGAATAATGATAATCATCATGATAATGTGATGATTATAAAGATGATGATAATGATAAAATATTGATAATAATGATGATAATAATAATGATAATGATAATTTTCGTGATAATTAATGATGGTGATGAGGATGATTATACGATAATGATAGTAATAATGATGATGATAATACGATAATGATAGTAATAATGATGAGAATTATGCTAATGGTACTGATAATGGTAGTAATAATAATGATGATTCTATATCAACAATAATAATAAAAACAATAAATAATAATAATAATGATAATAACAATCATAATGCAAATGACAATGATGATGATAATGGTAATGATAATGATGATGATGATGATGATGATAATAATAATAATAATAATAATAATAATAATAATAATAATAATGATAAAAATATCGATAACATGATGATAGTATTAACAGCAGCAATAACAATTATAATAACAATAAAAGGATGATAAAAATGATAATAATAACGATAATTATTATTATTATAGTAATAATAACAACAACGATGATACTAAAAAAAAGTAATAATAGCAATGATGATGATGGTGATGCCGATGATAATATGATACCAATAGAGCTAATAATAACAATGATAACAATAATAATAATAATAATGATAATTATTATTATTACTATTATTATTATTATAATGATAATGATAATAATAATAATAATAATAATAATAATAATAACAATAATAATGATAGTATTGAAAAAATAACGATAATAGTAATAATAATAATAATGATAATAATAATAATAATAGTGATAATAATGGGGATAACAATAATGATATTATAATCACAACAAAAACAAAATTGATAGCAAGGATAGTGATATTTTAGATAATAATAATGACAAAAAATAGTAATGTTATTGATGATACTAATAATAACAATACTTAACGGTAATACTACTAAGGATAACAATAGCGAATGCTTCAGAATTGATATTACTATTAGTAATAGGAGTAGTAGCAATAATAATAACAATAATGATGATAATAATGAGAATGATAATGATAATGATGATGTGATGGTGATGATGATACTAATAATAATGATAATAGCAATGATAGTAATAATAATGATGATGATAACAATAACAATGATAATAATACTAATACTGATATTGATAAAATAATGCTAATCATGATAATGACAACAACAATAAGAATGGTGATAACAATAACAATAATCATAACAGCAATAACAAAAATGATAACATTCTAGATAATAATACTATAAAAATAGGAATGATAATGATGAAACTAACAACTACGATACCAATAATACTAATAGTAATATTGCTAATAAAAACAAGAAGGATAATATCAGTATTTGATGATGATGATGATGATGATGATGATGATGATGATGATAATAATAATAACAATATCAATAATAATATTAATGATAACAACGACAATGATAATGATAATAATAGTAATGGTAATGATGAAAATAATAATGATAGTAATAATGATAATAATACAAATGGTAATAACGATAATAATAATAATAATAAGTAATGATAATAACAACAGTATTGGAAATAATAACAATAACAAAAACAATAACAACGATAACGATCGCAACACCAATAACAACAATAATGATAATATTAGTAATTGCATCAGTAATAGTAACAGTTAACAGTAATACGAATTGCGGCGTTTCAATAGTTCGTTGCCGCCATTAGGAGCACGTGAAAGCGCGAGATCCGGCGAGAAATGCCGAGAGATGAACGAACGGGTCCTCGCCATCACTGTTTTGAAATCTCCCACGAGAACATAAACAAATTTCCGGACTTTCGTGGACACTTCGCCAGACATGGAAGAAGCTGAGAAGAACGGAGAGGTAGAGGTGTATCAGACCTTCGAATTATCTGACGGAGCTCGCACTGTCACCATTTTGGCTTCAAAAGAGGAAGAAGAACGGATAAGCAGAGGTCGGTATTTCTCTTGTTATTCCACTTTAGAGACATTTTCACGAGTCGAAGGTCCTGCAACCACCAAAAAACGCTCCTTTACAGTGATTATTCGACAGTGCAACGGTCGGTCATGTGATACTTATCAGTAAAAGAACAGGAACTAGGGTTTATTGCATAAAATTCCTATATAAACTACGTCATCAGTCGATCGTGTAAGTGCAGCGTTCTCACAACACTTGCACGACCACGCACTTGTTTTATTATGATTATGATTGTGTTATTTACAACATGACTTGTTTATTGTATGTACATGACGTTTCTTTGTTGATGCGTTGTGAACACGGTATGCAATAAAAGTAGCAAAGGTAAATTAAGTATTCGTTAGTGTTTTAACGACAGATATTTCAAAGTTATAATACTTGTTGACAGTTTTTGGAGTGCCTTTTATGTATTTGTAGAACATCAGTAAAATGCCCATAATACTTTTGATACCAAAGGTCATCTATATGTAACCGACTGTATATCAAAGAAACATGACACCTATCTGTTATGTATGGTATACATTTATATGTATGTATACATTTGTATACATATATAAATATATAAATACATACATACGCACATACACACCTACACACCTACACACACACACACACACATATCTTTATAGATACATACATAAATACACAGGCATAGGTAGATGGATAAATAAATAAAAGTAGAGAGATAGATATAGATCTATGATACAATAAATATACATGTAGATATATTAGTACATAGATAAGTGGATAGATATACATACATATATAGATATATATAAACACAGTACATGTATACTTGCACAAAGGGGTACATGTAAAATTACTGCCAGCCTTTGTTTAGACGAAAAATAACATATGCAAACGATAGAGCGAGTGATTCTAAGAAACTTATCTTCTATGAACTTCAACTGCAACTCAATAATAACAAAGTTATTAGACATGCAAGTGTCTGTGAGCCCGTTATGAAATACTATCTCAATATTTAAAAAATCCTAAAATTCAAGAAATGGAGGGAACAGATGAGGTCAGGTAGACTTAGTAACTAACCCTTTGATAACCTTATGAAGCCATGATAAAACTAAACCACAGTGGACAGTGCATTCAACTGGAGCCATAGAGTTAAGGATACTGACTTTAACTCTGTCAGTGATGTAGGTCTCCTATCCCAGTTTTTTGAGACTACTGATGGCTCTTGGTACATTTATCAGTGATTGAGAAGTCTTTTCAACCAAAACCAAGATGGAGAACTTTGAGAGTTCCCTTGGAAAATCTGCTTAGTTTATATGTAACTGGAGTGGTCAACAGCTACCCAGAGCTTTACATATCTTGGATGTATAGTTTACTCAAGGTTGTCTTATTAGGAAGTTAAACCTGATGGGCCTGAACTCTCTCAATGGGAGATTTGGAGATGTTCGTACCTGCATAGAAAGACCAGCTAAGTATCATGAAAGGTCGAGATATATCCAAATACGTTCTAAAACAGTGAAGGTATGACTCTATCTTGATGTCTTATATGTCATATTACAGGAGTCTAACTAGTGGCTGCTCTAGAAGATAGATGTAAGACCTATTACTCACATATTATGATTGCCACATAGCATATATGGATACTGGACCTGACTCCTTGAGTATCCTCCTGCCTATGAAACTGTCTTTTCCAGAGACATTTCTGGGTAGAGGAGCCCTATAGCATAATATCTTAAGTTGTGGTTTGGGGAAAACAATCAAACCTATTATAAGGCAGGGAATATGAGCTGGGCCCCTTCTGCAGCTTATCAAAAGGTACTCTTGAAGTTGAAAATGAAGGGGGGTTGTAGCATTTTGCCCTGCATGGTATCGAGTGACTGGTTGATTGAATACTTGCAATTCTAATAATATTTGCATTTAAGAAATTATGACTTACTTTATATACTCCAGGAATAATGAGTTAACAAGAAAATTTCATAAGCTACTGATAGTCTTTAATCTGAAATATGAATCTTGTAAATAGCATCTTTATCCTTAAGAACTTTTGATAGTGATTTATAATTTCCACTTATTTGTGTCAATTTTGTATACAAGTGATGTATATTGTAACTGTAAAAAAGTTAGATGTTTACTGAAACTTTTCTTAAAATGCCTAACCTAGTGTTTGTTGACTGTATATTGATATATCAATAATTTTCCAGACCAGGCCTATGCTACACAGAGGTTCCTCTCGGCTGTGGGTGAATACCATGTTGAGGAAGGAGGTACATACAAATATTAGTTTTAGAACTTCTTACATATTAGTTAAATGCATTTCCAAATATAGCATTTTTGTTTAATTTTCTTTACATTCTTAATTATATGAATATATTTATACAATAATCTTTTTACCTGTGTTGCAGAAGAAGACTTCAACCACAATGCTACCTTACTCCTAATTGAATGCATCCGTGATAGATTTGACAAGTTTACATCATGCAGGCAGGAAAGAAATCAAGTGTACAGAGAGATCCAAGAAGAGTTTAGATCATATGGGTATAACTTATCAATTGAAAAAATACGGAGCAAGTGGAATAATCTCGTTACAACATACAAGAGAATCAAAGAGAGGCACAAGGCAGGGCTTGCTGGTAAAAGAGTTTGGGACTATTTCCAGGTAATATTATCTCCCTTATTAGGGGTTGTGTTGTTGAAATGATATACTGTATAGTCTTTGAGGATGACTGTGAAGTTTGCAAACTGTCATTTTATTACTGTTAAGTCATAGGATAGCAGTTTTGTTTAAAATGGTTAGTAGGCTCTGATTTTCTTTCATTTAGATAAATATTATTAATGCATTATAATGCTTTGAATATATATGCTTTTATTTTACAGTGAAATAATATATTTCTACAGAAACAGTATATACACTACTCATTGAATGTTGTATAATTCTTATAAATACAACTAATATATAATATATATATATATATATATATTATATATATATATATATATATATATATATATATATATATATATATATATATATATGCATTGCTCATTGAATTTTTTAAATACGACTAGAACTATATTTGTTCTTTGGTTTACCAAAAAATATATATACACTATCTTTTTCCAAGAATGCACCATGATTGTTTAGTTTTATTTCTTTACCATGTACTTATTTCATTATTTCATTTTTGCAGCCCTTAGATGAGCTCCTCAGCCCTACTTACGAAGCATCAGGACCAGCTGGATTGTCACTCCTCACCGGAAAGTTGGAGAAGAATGAACAACAATCATCAGGCTCACATAGTACTTTCCAAAAAATCTCTTTATCTCCAGAACCCTCCTTTTCACCTCCCCTTGCTTGCTCACCTGTGACACACACAACAATCTCAATTCCCTCCACATCAAGTACGCAGGAATTGAAAAGGAAGCATTCAGACTCAATGCTGGGTCAAGAACAGATTGCAGACCGAGGGGAAAAGAGACAGGAGATGATGGAGCAATATTTTCACCAAATGAAAGAAAAGGATGTTAAAGAAGATGAATATAGGATAAGAAAAGAGAAGAGGGACAGGATGAAAGTAAGAGCTTTACAAAAAATAGGAAAAGAATTAGAAATAATTGCCAAAACACAATTAGATCTTTTAAAGAAACAAGATGTTATTCTTGAAGTATTAAAAAAAGGTAGTAAATGATATTTGTTTCTGTAGTAAACATTTCATTAAAAAATATTTTTTTGTAACATGGAAAATGTTATACAGAAGTGCCAAAGCCTATATATTGGTTAATAGTGGAAGTATTTTGGTGAAAAATATATTCTGATATTTTGTAAACAGAAACTCATGATAGTTTTACTGATACTGTAGCTACAAGTTTAATAATTTTCAGTGTTATAATAAGGAGTATAATTTATAAATATAATTCACTGTTAAAATAATAAATACCATAAGGTTTGTAATTACTATTGTAACTCCATTTACTTTTATCATTATCATGAACAACAAAATATATATGGACAAGAAAATTATTCCAAAAACCCTGTAAGATCATTATTCTTTCCAGTGAAGTGAAATACTTTTATTTTATAGTATTAGTTTACATCTTTGCAATCTTACAAGAATACAGTTATTTTCACCTCTACATTTAACAGAAGTAATCAATATATTTGTTTTGATATACTACTATTATTTTCACCTCTGTGCCAAAAGATAATCTAATTTTATGTTGAATAAATCTCCATTGTCTTGAAATACCAAAGAATTGTAATTTCACTTTTCTCCATATTTCTAATGAAACCTTCATTAAGAAGAAACAGACAAAAATCTCATGAAGAATGAAAGACATGCAATAAATAATTTGCAGGTAGTTCAATATTGTATTGCTTGTTCCTTACAGAATTGCTTTAGATAATAACTGGAGATTAAAAATATAAGATCTTGTCTTTTATCTCTAACTGCTGAAAGTTATCTGCAAGATAATTAGCTGAAAATCCTGACATCGAATACTACACATCTTTATTGCATAAAAAAATGTACCAACTTACTAGGATTTTCAGTATCGAATACTTGGTGTGAACATAGTAACTGTACTAAAATAGATTGTACTGTTATTTATATTGCAGTCTGAACAAGACATCATTAATATGAGGAACAAAATATGAGGAAATAAAAATGTTATTACTTAAAACAA